CTCTCTCTCTCTCTCTCTCTCTCACACACACACACACACACACATTCATTTTCATCCTCTCAACTATCAATTAAATGGTAAGTTACTGAACTTTGTTTTTTTTTTTTTTTTGTTATTCTCTTCCATTGCATAACCTTCAGATTTTCTTACATCTTATGTGATGAGGTTGATTCTGAACTTGTTGATCCATTTGGGTTTTTTATTAGGGTATACTGGTGATTTGCCCCCTGAACTTGTACCTTAGTTTCAATTAGCCCCCTATCCTTTTAAAAAAAAATAATTAAGGACCCTATCTATTTTTTTTCGCCAATATACCCCTCTACGTCAGAATCTGGCACTTTCCATCCATTCTGCCGTCAAGATGGAGGTTAGTTTTGTCATTTCGCATGTCCACGCAAGTCAACCCAATGTAAGTCAAAAATTCGAAGGAGGCTAGGTCAATTTCGACCAAAAAAAAAAAAAACTGTCAGATTAGAGCTGTAGCTGTAGGGTTCGAAAGTTTGGGGGAATTGGTGATTTCACGAAATCGAGCTGCATAGTGGTTGATGTTGACAAATCGGAGAGGTTGTCATTGGAATCTCGAAGCAACACACCTGTATTGACCAAGAAAGATGCATGTAGAATCCGGAGCAGTGGGCAGGCTCCCAAGTATAGTAAGTCTTCAACTTTCCCTTTCTTTTCATTGTTTAAGTGGTTGTGGTCCATAGGTTGTCGGTATAATTGGATTCTTCTATCTTATTGCCTTTCTGTAAGATTCCTTTTTGTGGGGGTCTTTTTCTGCCGGAAGGCTTAGCTGGGCCGGATGGTCGCTAGTCTTGAATGAAGCCTTCAAGTCCCCGTTTCTGAGTTAGCGAGAACTAGGCCCAAAGCATCCCGAAGGGAAAGCAAGCCCTAGGGGGTACTCTGTTATTCTTACAGCAGCTCCATATTTTTGACTGGCTTCAGGTTATACATGGAACAGATGGACAGCAGCCTTGGATGGTGTACGCTACTGCTGGATGGTGTACGGCTTCTCTGGAAAGAGTTGAGGATGATGTGTTTTGGTTGTACAGAGATAGGCTTGGCATGAGAGTTTCCTTTGATGAGTTAAGATATTGAGCTTGGCATGAGAGGCTTGTGGCGTGGGAGCTAAGAATCCATAAGTTTAGCAGGAGAGAGTAACTTGCTTGAGAAATGAATGGTTATGGGAGTGTATTGTGGAATGATTGGATGGTGTTCAAGGCTTAGGGTGATATTATGGAAGAAAATGAGAATGGGGAGGTTAAGGCCTGGGTTTTGTGTGTTTATCTAGAGCACGGCAGTGCATGGTTTGCTGGGTTGTTTAGTGTGGCTAGGGTGCGGCCGGCAACGATTTGGAGGTGCGGCCGACAGCAATTTGGAGGTGTGGCCGGCAGCGATTTGGAGGTTTGCTAGAGTATGGCAGCAAACTGGAGGTTGTGTTCTGGGTTTGGAATGGCTAGGGCTTGGAGTATTTTTGGGGTGAGCACGGCATCAAGAATGGTTGCTGTTTCTGGGTTTGGAATGGCTGGAGCTTGGAGTACTTTGGGTGTCCCCCCTCGGGTTCTCCCTGTTTTCCTTTGCTTCCTTGCCCTTTTATACACCTTGTGAGTTTACTTCCCCACACGCATGCACTCCGGTATCAAGGTGGTCCGGCCTGCTCTCCGGTCTCGAGGTGGTCCGGCCTGCTCTCCGGTTTCGAGGTGGTCGTTTCCTTTTGGTCGTTTTGCCTCCCAGCTGAGATGACATAACCTCTTTATTTTATGTAGTTGCCGGG